AAAAAAAAAAAAGGGCCGGCCAGATCAGCCGACTGAAGCGCCTGCTTAGGCAGAGTGCAGCAGCCGAGGTTTGATCCCTGGTGTGCTGTGCCGGCCCCATCCCCAGGGGCCGCTGAGATGGCAGTTGAGACTGGGCGTGATGGCACTTTTGGGAGGCTGAAAACAGGAGGATCACTAGGAGTCTGATCTGTGTGGTGAGACCCTATAGACCTTGTACCAAATACATCTAAAAAAAAAAAAAAAAGAAAAAGCTTTTTAATAGGATCTTGATTTATTAGATAAATATTTTGTATTAGAGATTTTACTGTGGAAAGTGTTAATGGTTGCAGTCTAATTCTGGTCTCCTTAATCAAATCAGATTTATGAAGTACATTTTTTTTTCTTTTTCCAGAAATACATGCCACAGGGTTTAACTATCAGAATGAAGATGAAAAGGTCACCCTGTCTTTTCCTAGTACGCTCCAGACAGGTAAGAGACGTGGTCAGGCAAACCCCTGGTGAATAATGGCGTCTTACTTCTTCCGAGGAGATTGTATGCCTTTCTGCTCCTACTGTTGTTAGCGGTTAACTTTTTAAGAAGTAGTTGGTTTTTTATTTTGTTTTGTTTTTAATTATAAAAGGTTCATTGCAAGATTTGGGGCATCAGAATATTTTCCCCTAACAATTCTGAGTTATGCAAAGTAAGGTTTCTACATCCTGTCACTTTATATTTTCCTTAAGCAAACAAACAAACAAAAAACTACACTTAAAAACTAAGGTTTGCTGTAGTGTCCAATACAATGCATTGTTTTTGTTTCAGCTTTTTAAAAATACACTTAAGACATTAAAAACACTAGCTCCATTATCTTCTATTTGAAGCCAAACCTCTGACATGAATATTTCACACATGGTTTTGATGTACAACCAGAGGTTAGATAAGCAGTGTGTTAGAGCTCAGAAGAAAAGATTTATTGATGCTACTATTGTTAGATGGTAAAGCATAAGGAAAATATAAAATTGAGTTTAATATAGAGGAAGAAATTATATACCTAACAATTAGTAAAGCACTAAGAATATGATAGATGAATAAATAAAAAAGAACAGATAATTCATGCAGAATATACAAATAGCTGTTAACCATATAAAAAGAATCAGCCTTCTAATAATGAAAATAATGAAATGGCAGCTGCTGGTAAGCAAATTTTTGCTTATTATGTAAGCTACAGTTAAAAAGATTTCCAATGATACAGTGGCTGTGATATTACTAGTGGGAATGGAAGTC